GTGTGTGTGTGTGTGTGTGTGTGTGTGTGTGTGTGTGTGTGTGGTGCAGAGTATATCCTCTGTGTGAACACTTCTCATCCATTCCAGAGCAAAGCCTAAACACCTAAGAGATGAACGAGGTGTCTCCAGCCTGCTTCCAACAGGCTCACTTGTTTTTCTTCTACAGCCACTCTGTCATTTATAACTCACATATATTTTTTAAACACTAATTCAGGAAAAGATATGTCTGACTCTGACACCACAGGAAATGTGTTCAAACCAAAGCATGGGGAAGAAAATACTCTTGTCAGAGTATGCTCGCATTGGGACTTAGAAAAAGAGAAGTGCTGTATGTCACTTGACTATTGCTTTGAGACAAATGACTCTAAAATTCATCTCACAGTTCCTGTGGGCCAGGAGTTTAGGAAGGATTTTGCTGGGTGAGTCTCATTCAGGGTGTCTCATGAGGTTGATCAAGAAGCTGGCCAGGGCTGGGCGTGATGGCACATGCCTGTAATCCCACCACTCTGGGAGGCTGAGCAAGAGGATGGCAAAGTTTGAGTCCACTCTGGACAACTTAGATGCGTAGTAAGAACCTGTCTCAAAATATAAAAAAAGAGCTGGGGATGTAGCTCAGTGCAAAGGCCTCTGTTCAATCTGTGGTACAGGAAAAAAGAAGAAGAAAAAAAGCTGCCCAGGGCCCCGTCTTCTGGAAGTTTGCCGAACCTCAAAGGTGACACCTTGCACACTGGGGAAATTGGTGCTTTATTGGCAGGAGGCCATGCATCCTCTGCAAGTTGGCACAAGCCTTCTCAGAACAGCATAGCAGCTGCTCAGCCCACAGCTGGGGTTCCATGCCAGGGCAGGGGAACCAAGGGTCATTTGTGACCTGGCCTCATGTGCTAGCTGTGCCACATCCACAGGTCAGCCCCCATTGCTGCGGGAGAGCCACACAGCAGTGTGGGTGCCAGTGAGGAGGTGACATGGGGACCCAGCATGATGGTGCAGTGGAGGACGTGGGCTTTGTGGTCAGCTGCGTAAAAGCCTCCCAGAGCTGCTCGGCTGGGAATCTTGGGACTGATGGAGACTGGGAGTTCATCAGGACCCAAAGGTCTATGTCTGTCCTTGCTTTGCCGCACTGGATGACATCGTAATGGGTTAAGGCTGTTACTCCAGTTCTATAAATAAGGTCCAGAGAAGATTAATTGTACCCACTGAGTCTCTGCTTAAATAGATTCTGCTTTGTAATTTCTTTCCTGATCTTTATTGTGAGAACCTGGGAGGACCTAGGAGGCAAAACCTTGCTAACTGTGGGGACCCCTAGGACTGGTCTCAGGGGCTCTTAATTTTCAGACATGTCCACACAGTGACTCCAGAACTTTCCTTTGCAGATTCTGCTTTTCTCTCCTTTCACCAGTTCCTGAGAGTTTTGCCATGGGTTTCTGCTCTAGGTGCTGTGATTCTCCACATCCACTTTTCCCTCTCCAATTTGGGGGCAGAGGTTTGTGCTGTGACCTTGTATGCCTAACAGGAGTTGTTGATTTTCAGTTTGTTTAGCTGTTTTGTTTTCTTGCTGTGTGGACAGGAGCAAGTTCTAAGGTCCTTCCATGCCAGGCTGGAAATGGGAAGTCCATCACTGTAAATGGTAATACAGCAACCCTACTTCGGCTTGTGCTAGAATGATTTTAAACTTCTACCTTCACCACCCACTGCTCGATTCTCTAGAATCTCGAAGTCGCCTCTTCTACAGGAACCTTTGGACCTTGTCACCAGGGCCACCCCAGACTTCTTGGCCTTATGCAGTCCACTGTCACCATGGTGTAGGAGCCTCCACTGCAGACAAAACTCACCCATGAAAGAGGACCCCCTTGGAGCTGGACCCTGCCAGGAGGCTTGAGGTGGAATCCTGGGCACAGCTGGGCAGATGTAGTGACCATGACCAGACTTCAACCCAGGTGAATGCCTGCAGAAATGTGCTGGGGACATTTTACAGGCCTGTTTCCACCATGGTAGCTGCTGGCCACACACAGCTACTGAGCACTGGAAATGTGGCTGCTCCAACTTGAAATGAACTGCAAATGTCAAATATAACATGCACTGGATTTTGAAGACTTAGTTGAAAAGAAAGGAATGTAAAAATCTCAATAGCTTTGGTATCGCTTATAGTTTGACCTGACAACATTTTGGATATATCCAGTGAGATAAAATAAATTATTAAAATTAAACTAATATGTTTCTCTTTACTGTTTTAATGCTGCTGCTAGAAAATTTAAAACGTCTCCTTAGACTGGTAGTTGTGACTTTTGCCATATTTCTACTGGACAGCATCAGTGGTATAGGGCAGTGAAACTTTCTTGTCCCAGTAGATATTTCTGTCTTAATGATGATGCTTTCAATGAATGTTTTGGCAGAGCATGGGCTTGTGTTGCTTCAGTTGTCTTTGTGGTGTTTGCAACTGCGTGTGTGTGTGTGTGTGTGTGTGTGTGTGTGTGTGTGTGATACCGGGGATTGAATCTAGGGCCTTCACATTGAGCTACATTTTCCTCCCTTTTTTTTCTTGTTAAATTTTGAAACAATGTTTCTCTAAGTCTGTAAGTTGCCCAGTCTGGACTGGACCTTGT